AAGCTTTCCTCACTGCATGCTACCTAATTAATCGCATGCCGAGCCGAACCATTCAAAACTCTACACCCCTTACCGTACTCTTCAATGAAACTCCTGATTATTCTCGCTTGCGTGTTTTTGGTTGCGCATGCTGGCCTAATTTACGACCCTACAACAACCATAAACTTGATTTTCGATCTCGGCAATGTGTTTTTCTTGGATATAGCAGCATGCACAAAGGTTATAAATGTCTGGATCGATCCACCGGACGTGTCTATGTCTCACGTGATGTTATCTTTGATGAACATGTGTATCCATTTGCTAATTTCATTCTACCAACACCCATTCAACCAGTCTCTACACCTATCCCTTTGACCCATTCCCAGCCAGTAGCACAGATTGATCACGTAAGAGATTTTGCTACCTCTTTGTTGGATACTAATCATCCTGCCTCGAGCGATTATTCTGATGCAGGTACATCTCCAGATGGCTCACGTACATCCTCTGTTGACGCTAGCAGTGCCATGCAGCCCTCTGGCAACGGGGCTGCTGATGTGAGCCATGCAATACAGCCGGACGTGGTCATGGACGAGCCCGCGTCGCCGGCCTCACCTGTTGTGGTTGTGCATGCGCCTGCTTCGTCCGAGCCGGACTCCTGTGGTTCGTCCAATATAGCGTCGTCCGATGACGCGATTTCACGCGCGTCTGCACGATCTCCTGCTGCAGCCGCTGAGCAGCCAGAGCAGCGTGGTGCCACTACTCGGCTCCGCAACAACATTGTCAAGCCTTGAGTGCCTACTGATGGCACGGTCTTCGATGACCCACGTCGTCGGGCGTTCCTTGCAGCGCCGCCCACCTCCTACCGCTCCGCGATGACAGATTCCTCGTGGCGTAAGGCCATGGAGCTTGAGTTTGCCACTCTACAAAAGAATCACACCTGGAAGCTCGTTCCTCGACCACCCGGACAGAACATCATTGGGTGCAAATGGATTTTCAAGGTCAAAGAGCACGCTGACGACAGCATCGACAAGTACAAGGCCCGTCTTGTGGCCAAGGGCTTCACTCAGTGTTACGGCGTCGACTACCTCGACACCTTCAGTCCGGTTGTAAAACCGACAACTGTCCGCCTCGTCCTCGCTATTGCCGTTTCGCGCGGCTGGAGCCTCTGCCAGCTTGATGTTAGCAATGCTTTCCTCCATGGCGAACTCTCTGAGGCAGCGTATATGCAACAACCGTCCGGCTTTGAGGATGCTCGGTACCCGGGTTATGTCTGCAAACTCCAGCGGGCTCTTTATGGCCTCAAACAGTCGCCCCGCGCATGGTACTCTCGGCTCAGTGATCGTCTTCAGCAACTTGGTTTTGCTCCATCAACAGCAGATACGTCCCTGTTCATCTTCTCTCATGCCGGCGTCACCATGTATATGCTCGTCTACGTCGACGACATCATTGTCGCCAGTTCCTGCCCCACTGCTGTTCGACGTCTATTGGACCTTGGACCATTGCACTACTTCTTGGGCATTGAAGTGGCTTCTAATTCTGGAGGGTTGAGTCTTACTCAGAAGAAATATGCTACTGATCTTCTTCGACGTACACACATGGAAAATTGCAAGGCAGTGTCAACCCCCATGAATGTGCAACATAAGTTATCACGGGACGTTGGTCAAGCTTTCAATGAGGAGGATGCCTTTGTGTATCGCAGTACTGTAGGTGGTTTGCAATACTTGACGCTCACTAGACCTGACATTTCATTCGCCGTCAACAAGGTTTGTCAGTTCTTAGCTCAACCAACAGAGTTTCATTGGGAAGCTGTAAAAAGAATTCTCCGCTATGTCAAAGGGACAATATCCTATGGACTCGGTATACGGAGATCAACATCTACGCTCTTGAGCGTTTTCACGGACGTGGATTGGGCTGGATGCGCTGATGATCGGCGCTCAACCGGTGGCCTTGCGGTCTTCTTTGGACCAACCTTAATTTCCTGGAGTGCGCGAAAACAGCCAACCGTGTCACGCTCATCTACAGAGGCAAAGTACAAGGCACTCGCAAATGGGACTGCCGAAGTTACTTGGGTACAGTCATTACTCAAAGAGTTGCACATATCGCAACCGCGCCCTCCTGTACTCTGGTGTGACAACCTTGGAGCTACCTATCTTACAGCGAACCCAGTGTTTCATGCAAGGACAAAACACATCGAGGTTGACTTCCACTTCGTCCGAGAGAAGGTGGCACTAGGAGCTCTAGAGGTCCGGTTCATAGCTTCGGAAGATCAGGTCGCGGATGTCTTCACCAAACCGTGCACGAAGCTGATGCTCGACCGATGTCGTCGCAATCTCAATCTTGTCTCCGTCGGTTGAGATTGAGGGGGCATGTCAAATGTGATGAGTCAGTGCTATCTATCATCATGAGTTGTAACGCATAGTAATTATAGCTTAGTGCTAGAATGCAGAAGGTCTAGAGACCTCTCTCTTGATTATCCACGTACTAGTGACTTGTAACTGAGCATGTATCTGTACTATATAAACAGCCCAATGCAATGAGAATGAACACGGCAAATATTCTCTTCTGACTGGCAGCAAAATTAATCAAACAACAGATTATACACATGTACAGATTCCCTTTTTTTGGAAGACACAGTACAGGTACAAATTTGAAAGGGACTACTAAACAAGCAAACAAGCACCGCAACCGCAAGCAAGTCTGGTCCTATCAAACAGTCATCACTACAGAGCATGTTAGGCTGTTCTTATGCTGACCGTTGAATGATGCAACACACAGATGCAGTCCCTATCGCGGCAATCCTCTACCATTCTTCCATGCTGTTAGCTGTCACAGGAGCCCAGTTGCAAGTTCGCAACTCAAACTCTGATTCAAGTTCGGTGCAAGCAAAATCATAACACAAATGGCAGTGGCGAGTACCTCTTCGGCTCTCTGTCGCCTGCCTCTCCTTCTCGTCCTCCTACTCCTCGCTGCCACCAGCGAGGCCACCAAATTCCATGTCATCAACCGATGCTCCTACACCGTGTGGCCAGCCGCTGTTCCGGTTGGAGGTGGCATGAGGCTCGATCCGGGGGAGACATGGGTGCTGGACGTTCCCGTTGGCACTACGAGCGTGCGCATCTGGGCACGCACAGGCTGCTCATTCAATGGCGAAGGCAACGGGTCGTGCCAAACTGGCGGCTGTGGCGGCTTGCTCGCCTGCAAGGACAATGGTCAACCGCCCAATACGATGGGTGTGTTGGAATAAGCCACGGCGTGTGTGGTCGGGCTCGTCGGGCGCGTCGGGTGCGCGCGGGACGAACGGGACATACTGATGCCGTCGGGCTCGTCGGGTTCGTCGGACGTGTCGGTGACGCGCGGGACAGGCGGGACGTGTGAGACGCAGCAGCGTGGCGTGTGTGTGTGTATGTGTGTGTCTGGGCATTGTATGGCCTGCGTGCGTGTGTGCGTGCGTGTAGAAGGCTAGGTTGAGTCGGACTGTGGCTGAGCCTGCGATTGTGTGGCGAGGCAGGCAGGATGCAGCGGTAGCATGATGGCACCAGGTCTTGCGGAGGAGCTGGCTGCGCACGTTCGAGGGAAGACCAGATCGTGGTGGACTCCGTGAGGGCTACGTATTGTTAGCTATAAAGCCGGCTGTACGTTTGAGTCTGTTAGTGCGTGCGTGGGTGCTACGTCTCTGTTGGCTACAAAAAGCGGCTGTAAAATCCTAGTCTGGTGTGGCGTTGTGTATCCAGTTGGAGAAATAGAAGAGGGCTGCGTTGCGGCCGAAAAAAATACTGCTGTGCTTCTTCTACCTCTATCCTCAGTCCGGTGTAAGAGAGCAGCGGCGCCAACAGGGTGAGTTCACGCTTGGCCAAGGCCAAACGAGTGACTTCTTCGACATCTCCCTCATCGACTAGTTTTAAATAGCGCGCTAAGCATTTTACCGGCGGACCTCTTCCAAATACTATAGCGTGCTATAGCGAAGCTATAGCGCGCTATTTAAAATGTTTGCTTATTTGTTTGGACCAAAGTCTCTTAGCGCAAAACCTTTTGTAAACGCTATAGCGTGTTATAGCGGAGCTATAGCGGGCTATTTAAAACAGTAATCAACGTGCCCATGGACTTCCTGCCGGTGCTGGTTCTGGGAAGGTCACACTAGTGCAGAACCGGGCAATAGCACCGGTTCGTAAGGCCCTTTAGTGCCGGTTCCATAACCGGCACTAAAGTGTGGGCACTAAAGCCCCCCCTTTAGTACCGGTTCAGCACGAACCGGTGCTAAAGGACAACCACGTGGCACGAGCCAGCTCCAGGGGCCTAGAGCCCTTTAGTACCGGTTGGTAATACCAACCGGTACTATAAGGTTTGGGGGGTTTTTAGTTTTATGATTTTTTTTTCATTTAATTTTGTGTTTCCATTTTAATTCTTTTTCGTTTGCTGGTATTTTACGATACTACACATTGTACACGTTAT